GTGTAGTTGCCACCCCCAGCAGGACAATGGTTTGAAAAATCCATGCTGACATTAGACACTTCATAGAAGGTTTGTTAAAACTCAGATGATCAGGCCCCACACCCAGGGAGGTTCTGATTCCTGTAGGTGTGGAATGTGGCCTGAGAATGTGCCTAGCTAGTAAGTTTCCAGGTGAGACCCATGCCACTAGCCTCAAGACCATACTTTGAGAACCAGGGGACAGGACTAGGGTTGGTGAGAAAGATTTTTGCTGTTGCCCTTTGTGTTTTTCCTTTTTCATCACCAAATGAAGGAATTGTTCTATTTTATTAATAAATGTGATTTTTACCATGAATTAGCTACAGGGTAGAAGAACCAGAGACATTAGTGGAACTTCAAAAGAATGAGTGGGACCCAATCATAGAATGGGCCGAGAAGAGGTAAGATATACAGTCTTGCAAGAAAACATTGAATGGGGCCGGGGATTTAGCTTAGTGGTCCGCCACTTGCCTCGCAAGCACGAGGTCCCCGAATTCAATCCCCAGTACCAAAAAAAAAAAAAAAAAAGAAAACATTGAATGAGCCTAGTATTGAGCAGTGTGCTGGGGCCAAGGGGTCACATTGGCTACTTGTACCCCTTAGCTAGCCACATTTTGAGTGAAAAATTACAAAAATTATTTTTACCCCATGATGTATGTTTTTTCATGTGTTTTATATAGTTATTATTATTATTATTATTTGCAGTGCTAAGGAGGGAACCTTGACTATGCTAGCCAAGTTCTCTATCATTAAGCCATGCCCCAAACCCCTTGTTATGCTTATTCTTTAACATGTATCTTTTCTCAAAGCCAGTGTCATGTCCCAGAGACCAAAGACCAAAACCAATGCTTCATATATTTGAAAAAGATGATTGAATGGCATGGGAAACATATAAACTTTCTAAAGAAAATAATATTTAGAATAAATATTTTATGGCCTCAAATGGGAAAGACTTTTTTTTTGGTACCGAGAATCCAACTCAGGACCTTGCGCTTGCAAGGCAGGTGCCGGAGCCACTGAGCTAAATCCCCTAGCCCAGAAAAACTCTTTTAAAAGATTTAAAAAGCAGGTTATCCATGCTTTTGATAGAGATTGCAGGGAAGTGACTTAGCATTTCAGGCAGTTACATATAATGGAGCTCCTGTTCTCAGGATTGAGAAACTCATTGAGGGCAGTTTCTTGCTCCACTGGATTTGTTTTTGGAGGTTAGAAAATTAGGTCAAGAGGCCACTGACCAGAATGGTATTTGCTTCCAGAGTCCCCAAGACTAGTCCCTTGGGCACATGATCTGAAGGGCACACTCATGCCCAAAAGTGAGTGTTCTCTGGACATGTAAAAGCCTTTTCCTTTCAGATACGGCATGGAGATTGGCTCCTCCACCAGCATAATGGGACCCAACATCCCTGCCAAGACTCGGGAGGTGCTTGTCAGCCACCTGGCATCTTACAATATGTGGGCTCTACAAGGTACACACTGTGGGCCTGGGGGTAGGTGTCATGCAGGTGGGCACTCCCCCCTGCTGGAGTGCTGTGAGCATGAAAGCTGGCTGGCTTTGATGCCAACCCTTTCAGTCAGCACTCTAGGCTCACATCCTCCCAGCAGAAAGTTGAATTTGTCCTCTTCAGCAGAAGTCTCAAGATCATGCATGTCTCATTGACCTGGCCCAGCTCATCTGTGTGAACCAATCAGTGGGCAGAGGTTTGAGGGGATGCTCTGATTGGCCAGGTTCAGGTCTTGTGCCTACCCAGGAAAGGGCAGAGGCAGGTCACCCCAAGGAAAGCCAGAGTGCTCTTCTGAAAGAGTAAGATCAAATTCCAGCTGGGCCCTGGGACTGTCTCCCTATCCTGGGGTCTTTGGCCACTCACTCCTCTATGAGGGGTGCAGGAACTCACATGGGAGAGGTTGTAGCAATTCCTGTCTCAGGTCCTGACTCGGTTTGTGTCCCCACAGGGATTGAGTTTGTGATGGCTCAGCTCAAGTCCATGGTGCTGACTTTGGGGTTAATTGACCTGCGGCTGACAGTGGAGCAGGCTGTGCTGCTGTCACGCTTGGAAGAGGAGTACCAGGTGAGATGGTGCGCCTCAGGTCCCCGCTGCACCCTTCCTAATTCATAATAACTTGATGTGGGGTTCAGCCAACCTATCTGAAATGTTTTCATGTAAATTTGGTCTTTATTATTTTTGTGTACAAATGCAGAAACCAAAATTAAAGATCAGTAGAAGAATTATCAGGGCTGAGGATGTAGGTCAGTGGTACACTGCTTGTTTACCATGCTCAAGACCAGGGTTCCATCCCTAGCAACACAATAAATTTTTTTTTTAAAGTTAAATTGGGGCTAGGCATGTAGCTCAGTGATAGAGCACTTGCCTCATATGCATGAGGCCCTAGTTCTATCCCCAGCACCAATTAAAAAAATAAAGTTAAGAAAGGTGCTCAGCACTACTCCCCTCAACCCCTTATCTCTACAACCTGATTAGGTAGCCACTGGGTTCACCCTCATTTTACATAGGAGGAAACTAAGGCACTAGGTCATACCTCTGGCAGATATTCCAGGTGCAGTTTGAAGCCAGGACTGGGGGAGTCTAGGGCCAAGGCCTTCAGTCTCTATTCTGCACTTGAAGGTTTGTGAGTAGATAAAGAGCATTTGGGCCTGATAAGTTGCAGAACAGGCCCTGCTGAGATGACAGAGGACCTGCTTCTTCTCTTAAGTCAGCCACATACTCAAACCCTGACATTTCATTTGGCTGGCAGAGCAGCATGGGATTAGCTGCTGTTTGTACTCATTTTGATTTGGAGGGCTCAGAATTAAAACACTATTGTTTGCATTTTTTAACTCTGAAAATTATGGCAGTGCTTACAGTCTTTTTTGTTGTTGATGTTGTTATTCCTCCAAACCCAGGTTAATTGGTATTATTATTATTTGGTTCCTAGTATGGAAAAAAAGAAAAAAAAACCTTTTTGGAATGTTTAGTCTTCTATTTGGAAAAATGCCAGGGGAAAAGAAAACTATTTCTGTATAGTAGAGGAGGCTGGCCAATCTCTGGATGTCAGAACCAATTTCATGGGAAGGGGATAACTTGTGGGGGTGTCAGGGCTGGTAGGAAGCCAGGAAATCTGGCTTTTGGTCTGGGCTCTGCTTTTAACTGTGGGACCCAAGCCAAGCTATCATCCTCCGAACTCTGGCTTTGATCCTGCAGAAAGTAAGGAATAACCTGGATTATGGATGTGATGGTATAAATTGAAGGAGAAAACATCCTTCAGCTGACATATTACAGTTGTGCATACTGAGACTGGACTGCAAGAAATGCAGACAGGGCCAGTGGTTCTGGTGCCTGCCTCGAAAGCGCAAGGTCCTGAGTTTGATCTCTGGTACCAAAAAAAAAAAAAAAGAAAGAAATGCAGATATCTGTGTGGCATGGTAAATTCTGAATTCCTGGCTGTGCTGGGGCAGCCAGGCCAAGCCTGCTGGGCCCCTGCTGGGGAGGAGCCAGCAGGGTCAGGTTGGAGTTGCACTGATGTCCCAATAGCTACAATGTATCTAGGGGTTTCTCCCTCTACTCTTCAGAGTCCTAGAGAGAGACAGCAGCCTGCCCCCAGCATGCAAAGCAGAGGCCTCTGTAGTACTGCTATTCCCCCCTGAGTTAGAATAGAAGTCATATGTGCCCTTGCTTGACTTATGTATTTTGTTCATATGGGGAACACTTGCAGCCTGCCTGTAGATATAGCTTATAGAGGATGGCAGTTTTCAAGCTACTCCATGCTAGCTACTTTGTATAAAATATGAGATTAGGGAAGCCACATGATTCAGGCTCTCTTGTTGAACACATGAGTAGTTTTGGTCCTCATTGTGCCCAGTAGTGGGTACCTAGGGCAACCACTGGCCCCGGGCCTGGACACACTCTTCCCAGATCAGCCAACCTTCAGAGCACAGGTCCCTGTTCCAGTCACCTGGGCCCCCACACCCAACCCTCATGTGTATCTCACCTGTGTTGGCAAGATCCAAGCTTACTTCTTTTAGTCTAGCACTGGAAGTGGAGTGTGGCTCTAGTCAGCAGCTAGCTTAGCACTTGCCCAGCAGCTAACTCTCCCTTCGCCCACCAGGGATGGAACTCAGGACCTTGCACTTTTGAAGCAGGTGCAGCGCCACTGAGCTAAATCCCCAGCCTTCCCAGCAGCTAACTTGTCTTTTCCTCAGATCCAGAAGTGGGGCAGCATCGAATGGGCCCATGACTATGAGCTACAGGAGTTGCGGGCCCGCACCGCTGCTGGCACCCTCTTTGTCCACCTCTGCTCAGAGAACACCACAGTCAAGCACAAGCTTCTGCAGGAGTGAGGCCTGGGCAGTGCATGCCAGCGGGATGGATCCTTTACAGCCACGGCTTCCTTGGTCTGGGTCTTTCCTGGTCTGTGGGGCTTCCCTGACCTAAAGAGCTGCCCCAGCCTGCAACTGTGGGTCTCCCCTGACCTGCAGGACTTGGCCTTGCATAGCATTTCCCTAAGGTGCCCCTGATACACTGTATGGCTGTCTGGAGGTCAGCTGGATTCCAACCCAGGTGCCCCTGGCCTGGCCAGCATCAAATGAGGGGGATGAGATGTACAAATGATTTTCTCTTGACCTTGATTTTACTAAATATTCCCTCACCTTGGAAATGTGTCAAGTCTCTTTTTCATATGCACCTCTGTATTTTCCCATTTTTGTTTTGGCTGGGTTTTGTCACCAAGGTTGAATAGCTTATCTCCCAGGCATATTTTGATAGCTACTACCCATGGTAGGGAACTTCACGATGGGGAAACAATCATGTCACCAATAGACAATTCTATTTGTGTCTTCAGCATCTGCCTGGAGGGCTTTTTTTCCCTGGGTTTCCATCAAACGATCCTTTAACAGTGAGTCCTTCTTGGTCTAAGCTGGTTGTTTCTGTTTGTTCCTACTGTTCTGGAAAAAAATGAATTACTCTTGAAAACATAAAATATAAGCCTACCAAGGTCACCTAAAATGTACTGCTATAATTTGGATCTGAAATCCAAATGTTTGTTCCCCAGAGTGGTGCTGTTGGGAGGTGGTGGAACCTTTAAGAAGTAGGAGCATGTGGGAGGTTTTTAGGTGATTGGGGATGTAACCTCAAAGGGCATTAAGGGACTATAGCCCTTTCTTTTTTTTCTCTTTTGCTTTCTGGCCATGAGGTGAGCTGTTTTGCTTCATCATATATTCTCATCACGATGTGTACCTCACCACAGTTCCCATGTCAACACGGCCATACTTGGTCACAGACTGAACCCTTTGAAACTGTGAGCCAAAGTAAATTTTCTCTATAAGTTGACATGTCAAACGTTTGTTATAGTGATGGAAAGCTAATACATGCATGTTTCTACTCATCTTCTACATGGGAGTCCTGAGACTCCTTCCAGCATGGCTACTGCTACCATCCTGGCAATTAAGTGCTGCTTCCTGGAGCCAGGCTCAGTGGAAGGGAAGTAGGGAGAGTGGTTTTTTGGCGATTCTAGGGATTGAACCCAGGGCCTTTACACTGAGCTCTAGCTGCAGCCCTTTTTAAATTTGAGACAGAGTCTCACTAAGTAGCCCAGGTTGGGCTCAAACTTACGGGCCTCCTGTCTCAGTTTCCCGGAGTGCTGGGATTACAGTGTGTACCAAAATACCCAGCAGGCAAAGGCTTTTTGACCCATGCCCTCCCACACCTGAGTAACAAGATGGCATCACCTCACTCATGGGGCACTGACCCCATACCAGTTACCTTTCCCACACTTCCTATGCCCTGTCTTCCTGAACCCCTCAATGGTACTCTGAGGAGTTACTGTCACAGTTTGGATGCCCACTCTGCACCCTTAAATTCTGGAGCAGACTCAAGTACCTGAAGCCAAGCTCTAAGTCAAAGGGGGCCACAATCTTTGCCTTGGAGGGATAGCCCAGGCTCTAGCGTGGTGGTGGTGGCAGCTATGACCTTGTCTGCTTCCAGGTCCTCACCACCCAGAAGCAGGAAGGGCTGAGCTCATGTCTGCAGCCTGCTCTTAGCATGGCTGAGGGAATAGCCCTGCCCATATCTGGTATTCAGCCATAGATACCTCTAGCTGACTGCCAGGCCCTAGGGAGCCACTCTTGTAGACTGGCCAGGGACCTGCTATTCTTCATCTTTTCTCCTGTTGATCCATGAATGTACATTCTCATTTTTTTCTTTTTTTACTCTACATTTGGAACTTTCTCCAGGGTAGGTAGAGGAAGAAAGGTATTTGGGGAGACATGGGTTGAAGAACTGCCCATAATTCTCTCCTGAGGCAGCCAGTGCATGCCCCCACATCCTCACTGTGGTAGGAGCTCATGCTGCATTTGGAAAGGAACCTTCTGGCTGATATGCACCTAATCCATATCACCGCATTCCAGGTTGTCCAGCTCACTCTGCATGTGGTCGATGTATTGACTGATCTCTTTCACTCGCTTGCGATTCCTCATGACCTCATCCTTGTGAATCTGGGGAGTGAAACCAAAGCCCAAGGCCTTCAATCAGATCACTATCTTTTTGGGTTAATATCTTTTACTGAGAGCAGTCTGAGGGAAAAAAGATTGTTCTTTGAAATCTCCAGAGTTTCTGTGCCTCATTTACTCCAGAGCCTACACATAGTCTATGGATCTAGTTGAGATTCTACAGATCTATTTCATAACCCAGTGATGAAGCATATAGGTGTGAAAGTTTCTGACCAGCAATAGTCTACACTGTGGAATCTTACAAACCTTAACTTTATTTCATTCTTCATTTCTTTCCTTATTGAAAACAATATGTACTATCTAGGGAAGATTTTCCCATTCTTTCTGGCTGCTATCTAGATAAATGAGCCTAGCCAGCTAGGATGGGTTGGGATTTACTCACCTTGTCTACTAAATGTGTACACCAAGAATTGATCCTGGTCACCAGCTCATCTTCCCTATTGTCAATCTTCAGGAGGTGGATGTCATGTGATGCCCCAACAGCATTTACAATTGTGTCTTTGTCAGCAAAAAGCTGGTGAGTGAGAAGGCCCAAATGAGATCATGTATGTCATTACACTCTAAACACAAAGTCAGGGAGCAGAATAGAAAAAGGACTCCTGGGAATCCCCTGGCTGTGCAGGCTGTGCCAGGTGGAGAACCCATCTTTGTATTGGTACACTTTATGCCAGCTCATTTCAGGTGACAGCTGCCTCTCTAACCCAAGCAGTGGCAGGTGTTACTCTGCAGTCTTCAATGGGAGCATGTTTTCTCCAGGGAGAAAGCAGATGGCTGCCCAGGATGATCTCACTCAGGACATCTGTTCTCACAAGGCCTCTCTCTCGGGAGTTTGCAAGTCTGCCTTGCCCCAAATCCCTGCAGGTGGGAAATGGAAGCCTGGCCGAGGGTCTCACAGCTGCTCTGAGGACCATAGGCCCTGCAGACTGATGGGTACTCACCTCATATTTCTCTCTTCACTGCCTCGAATGGCAACAAAATCAAATCTTAGGGTCCACTTGGAGTCTCCTTCTACCTTCCCTTGCTCCTGACCTTGATTGATGCCTTGTAAAAAGCTGCTCAAAACAACCACCATCTAGCAGGCCTGGCTGGTTCTAAGTGTTGACACCGTGGCTGTCTGTGCCTGAAAATTTTCATTTCCCAGACTGGGGGAAAGCTGATGACGCATTTAGGAACCAGTTGCTTCCACACTGAATGGGGGGTATTTTGTAATGGCAAGATTAGCAAAGAACCTAACTTATATGTTGTAGAGAGGATGGCATGTGGGATGCATACATGTGGAGCATCTCATCCAAAACGCTTGGGACCAGAAGCGTTTCAGATTTCACCATTTTTTGGATTTTGGAATATTTGCATAGATTTTTTCAAGCATTCCTAATTGCAAAATCTGAAATACTCAAAATCTATTTCAGATTTTTGGATCAAAGATGCTCAACCTATACTTGTTTTTTGTTTTACTATAGTAGCAGTTAACTTAATGGTCCCCAAAACAGTATATTCTGTGGAATCTTGAGATGTTTATGTTTCTTTGAAATAAAGGTATTCTCTAGTCAAACACAGTTGGGAAAGCCAGCACCCTCAGGCCACAACTAAAGATTTATAGGGTACAAAGTATCCTAAAGGCTCAGCAAAGTCCTATGGAAAATAAACCTTTTTAACTTGGTTTCTCTCTGTTTCAGAGTAATGTCTTCAGGCTGCTGGTTTTTCACAGAATCCCATATGGGCAAAGCCAGGTTAGATAATGTGGGGAGTGGGGTGGCTGTGAGACCAGTTAGCACAGTCACGTGTAAGAAATGATGAGGTTATTATGTTCTATCTCTGTGGGTACACAGCCCCAGCCAAGGCTCTGAGAAAGGGTAAAAACTGTGGAAAACTGGCCAGGTGTGGTAGTGCATGACTACAATCCCAGCACTTGGGAGGCTGAGGCAGGAGGATCACTGCAAGTTTGAGGCCAGCCTGGGCTACAAAGTGTGTTCAAGGCCAGCCTGAATTACAGAGCAAGACCCTGTTTTTAAAAAATGTGGAAAACCTGCTGCACTGAGTCTCAAGCGGCCTTCTCAGGAGTGGGCACCCAAGTATTTTAGAAACAGCCACAACCACTCATTATGTAAAAGTTTTCAATTCATTCTAGAAAATGAGTTGTAGCTGATCTTAAACCAGGTAGAAAACATCTTCCTCCTCAGAGTTTGAATATACAGAAAATGGCTTCAGAGGGTTGAGAAGCAACAAAAACAGGTCAGCTTAGAAACACATGAGATAGAATTAGTTAAGAAAAATGATGTGACAATTGTAAAATATAAACAAAAGGAATCTGGTTTCAAGAAATTTTTGTGTTTTTTTGCTTTAAGGCAATTTCTCAATATGTTCCCCAGGCTGATCTTGATCTCCTGGACTCGAATGATCCTTCTATCTCAGCCTCCTCAGTAAATGGCCAAAGAAATTCTTTAAACATGCAAGTTGTGAGTTGTTTCTGGACTTGAAGTGGCCTAGAGTGCTGGCTGCTTCAGTTTTCCTCTTGGAATACTTCTAATGGGGAGAATATTCTGGATTCACCTCCAGATTCTGTGGGTTGAAAGCACTAGGGTAGAGGCAGAGGCTATGCAGAGCTCGTGAGAAGCACAGGCTGCTCTTGGCCCCTGGGCTGTGTTCCCTGTTCCATGGGCCTTGCTGGACCTCACAGAGGTGACTCTGGTTGCCACAAAGACATATTTCCTTCAGAGTGACTTCTTGAGGGGAACTTTTGAGAAGGGCACAACTAGTACCCCTCTTTGGGGCCACCATGATGCTAGTGACGAGGATTTGCTGCCTTGTGTCACGTGAGGTCAGGTCATCTTGTCAAACCTAATGACCCGCAGCCCTCTCTATGACCGGCAAGGAGCAGCTCAGCCTAATGGGGCAGGGACTTGTGCTGAGGTGTATCCTCTTGGTCCTGGCCAGAGATTCATGGTAGCCACCCCTATTTACTGCTGACCTGGGTCAGACACAGTTGTTCTAGCAGGTTCAATGGACTCACAAGTCCTCTCCACAGCCTAGGCCCAAGCTCTGGCCCTGCCCTTGCAGGTGGACACTGCATACACGTTCAGAGTGCCCAGGCTGCACATCTGACATCCCTGCTGCCTCCCAAGTGGGCAGCTGTGACTGCCGGCACCACACAAAGGCTCTCCCTCACTGCCAGCCCCAGAATTTAATTTCACCTTTCCTCTCCAAGCTGGGAAGAACTTGACATAGACATGAGACAATTTGGGTTCCAAGTATGGCCTGAACTGATAACAATCACTCTATTGAATGAGAGGAGTTGTAGAGATAACCTCATCAATGTGACTTTTCATCATGATCTGTTCATTGATTGCTATGTAACAGAAGGCAGATTTCTTCCACCTGAGGCCCTCTTCCCTCCTTGGAACAACCACTCCTGCTATGGTAGGCTCAGTAGACTTTTTGTTAAAGGCTTTGAGTCAAACTTTCAGGGTTCAAATCACAGCTCTACTGCTTTAATTTTAATGCCTCAGTTTCCACATCTGTAAAATACATGTAATGGCATCTATTTTATGGTATTAACATGAAGATTAAAAGGACAATTTCACAGGGCATGGTTGTGCACACCTGTAATCCCAGCACTTGGGAAGCTGAGCCAGGAGGATTGCCACGAGCCTGAGGCCAGCCTGGGCTACATAGAGAGTTCAAGGCCATCCTGAACTACATAGTGAGACCTTGTCTCAAAAAATCAAAATAAATAAATGAATGAATGAATGAACAAGCAATTCCATGTCCAGTGTTTTGCAGAGGGCTGGCCCTCACAGCCCATAGTAAATGCCAGTCCTTGGTTGTGGTTATCACTCCTTACAGTCAGGCCATGCCTTTTACTCCCCAAAAATAACAGGACCATGTTTTTTTTGCTTGCACATAAGGAGACCAAAGCAACAGTGTGAGATCTTGGTGATATCTCTTGCTGCAACTTCAGACATTCTTAAGAGGATAGAGGTTTTCAATGGCTGCCCTCATGAGGAATTGAGGACTGTACTCTACAATAGTCCTGCCAACAAGCCCAAGCAGTGCCTTAGCTGAGAGGCAGAGCCCAGTATCATGAGCACCCCCAGAATGCCTACCAGCTTATAGTCTACCATTGAGGGCACAGCATGGGCTCTACAGCAAGCCAGGCTCTGCATCTGTCACACACCAGTCTCAATCCAGACTCCAGTCAACACAAGCTGTGCCATCTTGGGCATTTTACCAACCCTCTCTTGAGTACCAGTTTTACCCAGTTTCTCATCTGTTACCTGGGGTGTAGTAGTACTTCCTTTGATGAAGTAAATGAGATCATGTGTGATCTTCAGGCCTGGACAGTGAATGACCCCAGTGAGGGAACCCAGTATGCTGGCAGCCACTGCAGTCAGCAGGTTCTGAATGTTTCAAGAGCTACAGGAACAGGTGTCAGGTGGCACCATGTAGGGTCTGCTGGGCAGGAGGGCAGCTTGCCACTGACAGCACAGCCTAGACTGCTTCTCTGTTGCTGGCTCTGGGGCCCATCTTTTGCTGTGTCCCAGTCAATAGAAAGTAACCATGTTGCAGTACTGTGGCCACTGTGTGTCACAAACCTGGGAACTCCATCCAGCCCACAATGGGGTTCCAAATAGGGCTATCAGGGGAGGCAGATTTCGTGGCTCAGGGAAGTCTGGTCAAAAGTTAGCTGCATTTAGTTTCTCAGGGAAAGAAGGCTGGAGTCACAGTGGCCCTGGCACTGTGCTGCTGTGTTGGGTGTCTGTCTTAGCCTCAGGACAGAGGCTGCAGAGTCAGGAACTACTAGTCTGTGTAGGACTGAGCCCAGCACCTGACAGGGCAGAGGCTCAGTGAGCTCTTGCTCTTACCCACTCATCTAACTGATGACTCCTGGCATCTGTGCTGGACACTGGACACTGCTGCTGGCACTGGGAGGTACATGGTAAAAAAGCCACCCTTTCCCTCCCTCTCAAACTTTTATATATAGTGTCAATAGTCATATAAGCAAATCAACACAAACCAAAGAGTTTGGGACTGTGATAAGACTCTGACCTAATAAATGGGGTGCTCATAGACAGCTATTTTCAGGAGGGTGATAAGGGACCACCTCTCTGAAGAAGTGACACTTGAGCTGGGATCTGAATGACAAGGATGAAGCCAGACACATGGAGACCTGAGGGAAGAGCTTATTTGCCAGATAAACTATCAGCTGATAGGAGCCCGCTGGGAGCTGAGGAAGAGCCCCAAGGCAGGGTGCTGAGTGTGTGCGTGGGGGGGCGGGCTGCCAACTTAGGCAGGCCCCCAAGGGCCTGGTGACCATGGGGAAGGACTTACTCTAAAGTCATGGCAAGCCACAAGCAAGAGGTTGTGCAAAAGTGTGCAACAATGTGGTTTGGGTTTTCAAAGGCTCCCTCTGCATGTGAAGAACAGCCTAGTAAGAGGGCAGCAGGGAGGCCAGTGTTTAAGGAAAGGAGACTGTGTGGCTTGGTGGTGACATGGCAGTAGAGAGAAGCCCAGGAACTGGCAGTGGAATAATTGATGGATGAGTGAGAGAAGGCCTCTGATATGGAAAAATTGAGCCTGGGCCTTTCTATCCATGCCTTCCCAAGGCCAAATACACTGCTGCTGCTGGACTCTGGCACAGACTTGGAGAACCTCCTTAGTGTGCAGAGCCAAGGATGGAGCACACATTCCCAAGTGACCCGACTAATTCCTTACTATCATTACTGAGTGTATCGGGCGGCAACATGCTATCTCAGCAATGGCACCTGGAGTGGTTCCAACACAAAGTAGTACTTCTCATCGTAGACAATCTAAGATTAAGACTTTGGGGAAATCTCAGACCTTAAGTTGTGTTTGTAACTGCCTCCCTTAGAAAGTGCCAGAAGTCCATGAATTTGAATTTTTTTTTTTGTTTGAGACAGAGTCTTAATATGTAGCCTAAACTGGCCTCAAAACTTGTAGCAGCCAGGGATTTAGCTCAGTGGTTCCGCTGCCTGCCTCGAAAGTGCAAGGTCTCAAGTTCAATCCCTGGTACCAAAAAAAAAAAAAAAAAACCAACCTCGTAGCAATCTTCCTGCCTCAGTCTCCCAAGTGCTGGGATTATAGACACAGGCCTGCCTAGAAGCCAACCTGTTGGAAAGTTTAAACTATTCAACCATTACAAGCTCTTCTTTCATTGAGCCCACTGAGTATCCCCACAGATACCTTATTTGCTACCCTATTTCATCCACCAACTCTACAAAACACTTTACTGTCTCCTATGACAGATGGGGAAATTGAGGCTCGGGGAAGTTGTCAAGCTCAAGTGAGCCACAGAACTGGGCTGGATCCAGTTTGTCTGGCTCCTATCTGTAGCCCTCGGCACTCTGCCCTGCCCTCTGTGCTCACTGCGCGCACGTCGTCAGGCAGCTCCTCATCCAGCTCGCCTTTGATGATTTTCTCAAGGGTGCTGATAGAGATCTCTAAGAGTTTCTCATGGTGGTGGTTCTCCAGGTCTCGACACTGAGCCATCGTGCAGTCAAGAGTTAAGCAAAGCCAGGACAGTTCAGTTCAGTCCAATACCTCCTGACCTGTGGCTGGACCTCTGACAGACAGAGGTCCATCTCATCTCAGCTGGACAAGAACAGACTGTAGGGGGAAACTTTGAGATGCCAGGGGTCATTACATTCACAGGAGTTACCTCCAGGCACCAAGCCCTAAGGCCATCCCCAGCTGTGCCTCCTTTGTACCTGCCCTGTACCTGGTCACCTCTGAGCCTCAGCACTGGGTTCCTCTCACTGTCCCTCTATCATCCAGTTCTCCACCCTCACCACCTACCAACTGGAGACTGCCTGCTAGACAGGGTAGCTTTTCCAAACTCTTGGTCCTCCCCATAGCAGCTGGATTGAGCTTAAGGATGTAGGTACCTGGGACTTATCTGTCCCCTGTTTAAAACTCTCAGGAGATTCTGGCTCTCTGACATGCCCTGAAGTCTTCCTCTGGGAACCAGGCTCTTCTGGCCCATCCTTAAGAGCATTGCACAGGCTGCCTCCTCTTCCTGGAATGTCTCACTACCCTTTCACTTGGTCCCTCTGGTCACCTGCAGGCCTTTACTTGGTATACCCTTGCTCAGGGAGGCTCCTGCCCCTGACCTCTGGGTTGGCTGCTGATTACCTCATAACTTTGATACCACTCATTACCTTTTCAACTTCTGTCTGCCTGTTAGATTCTGAGCCCCAGGAGGACAGGACCAGGGACTTCTCTAGGGTATAGCATAATAGTTTGCCTCCTCATGTGGCAGTGCTCTGAGTTCAGGTGGCAGAAGGTCTGGTCATGCTTTTGATTTTGGCTCCTAACCTTAACATTTAAAACGATGAGTTCATTATAAATAATTTGTCAGTGCCTTTAATGTGGATATTTCCTCTCCCCAAGAGTGTGTTTGCTTGTAACAAAGAAGCAAGCAGTGATTTAGGGGTGCCATCTCCCCATGAACATAACCTATTTGAGAACAAACATGCCAGGACTCTACGCTGTTCTTTCTGGGCATCAAACTGTCAGTCTAACAAGGCCACCATTGTTCTGAGTGTTGGGGAACCCCCTTGCCACCCATGGAACATTCTTCTGAACATTCTACGTGGTTACCAAATCTACATCTTTTGAAAGACAGCTTTTTGCTTGGCAGAAATTGGAAGTTTTCCATTCTTCTAATTTCAAAGGTGGAGAACCCCATTTAAAAGGATCCTAGGGTGAATGAAATATCCTTTTGGTGGAGGTATGGATCTTTCTGAAAGGCAACTGGGGAGTAGGCATTTCTGGTAAAAAGTTAAGTATGCTGTAGTATGCTTTTCTTGTCTCTGCTAACATAGGACTCTGGTGGTAGTAGGAGGGGTGGAGGAGGTGGCTTTGCAGGTGGCCAACTGGAAGGGGACCCCATTTATTTGCATCCTACTCAGTTTCTAGAGAATGTTTGCTCTTCCCTGACTTTTCTTAAAAGTGCAGAGACCTCTTCTATAGCTCTCCTAAAGGCCAGGACAACCCCAGGGGTCCTGCAGAGCCTCCCTATGGGAGCCATCACAGAAAGGATATAGGCTCTGGACGTTTTCGATAAACATGTCCACCATGTCAGTGATGTTCCTTTCAAACATGTTTATGGCCTCCTGGAAATGATAAAAAAAACCCCACAGTTAACATGCCTATTTAGACACTTCACACTACAGGAAAACATGCTGTTTAGAACTCAGCAGGTGCTTCCTTGAAATCACAGACAGACCTTCACTATCCACCTTGGAGGTAAGGACCATCCACCTTGACCTTCCCAGGAAGGTGGTTGAGAACTGACTCCCTCTTCTCTCTCCAGAGCTCTTTGAGCTCTTCTGCTTTCCAGTATCAACTCAATCTTCACTCCAAATGTGTAATGCTATTTTCTGGCTTTTCTGTGTTGGTCTCTGCTGGGAATACCTGTCCTGGTCTTACTCCCTTCACTTCCCCTCACTCCTTAGAAATAACTCCCTTCTTTGTGAGCGTCTCAGTGGCATCTGTCCATCACTTCTAGAGAAACAGTGAAGGGAGCTGTCAAGAGCCAGCTTGCCTGGGTCAGTGTCCCAGCTCTATCACTGTGTATTACTTTGGGAAAGTCATTTAACCTCTCTGAACCTCTAGATCCTCATCTGTGAAATGAGTTTCCTACACAATACCTGTCTCATGGGTGTGTAGTGTGGTTCAATGAGCTACTTCACACAAAATGCTTTGCAAGGTACCTGGCAGAAAGGAGACCCTCAGTAAGTTCTGGCTATTACTCCAGACCTCTAACCATTTGTTGTTGTTTCTCAGCTCAGCAAGCCACCTTAGATCTAAAAAGGACTTAATGCTGATAAAGAGAACAATAGAAATGCTTTGTGAGGCCAGCTCTTCTGGGAGCCCCTCCCACAACCTGCCACAGACCTCAGGGACTACAAGGTGGGCCAAGGCGCAGGGTGTCCACAGGAACCCAAAGACTGTCTGCAGGCTGAGCAAATGAAACATTTTTTCAAATGTGTGTAAGGGTGCTGTAGTAAATAAAAATAGGTCACTGAAAAGCATGGCTGTCCTTTCAGCTTTCTGGCCACTGCTAATACAAGGACAATACATAGTTCTGGGAAGTGATGGATATGAAAAAGTGATCTCCCTGCTTGAAAAGGTAGGAAGCTGCTGACAGCCCCTCCCCTGGCACCGTGCTGCTTCTGGAGTGCTCAAGCATTCCCTAGCGGGGAGAGAGCAACTGCATGGCATGTGATGGTGAAATCTAGCCCATGTCTGAGGTGTCACTTGACGTGTGAGGAATTGATTAGGTGCTATCTCTTGGCCCAGCCACGGCAGCATCTGATGAGGTTCAATTCATCACACCACTTCCAATTCCCAGCCTCCAATGCCTGAGAACACACAAGTCACCCTGGCTGCTAATGAATTTGAGACAGCAGCACTTTTCATTTCCACTCCTTGGTGCTGAGTTGCAGGCTCCTTGTGTCACCCGGGAGATAGTGACTACAGCTGTGATCCAGAGGAGCTTTTGTCTGGTCCCTGACTGGGGTCTACTTTGTCTTGGGAGCACTCAAACTGTTCCTTGAATCTAATCAAAAGGCTCCTTGAGCCTCTTTCCCACTGGGGCTCTGGGCTCTTCTAGGATGGGGAGAACATTCCAGAGGAATCAGCTCACTTCTCCACAAGAATCATTTCTCATCTAAATTATTATTATTTTTTTCTCATCTAAATTATTGCAGCACTTGCCTAGGATGGGTGAAACCCTGAGTTCTATCCCAAGCACTGCCAAAAAGATTTATAAAAAGTATTAAAAGCAAACATAGGAATGATAAGCAAGAATTCTTCAGTGTGATGTGCTGGGTTGCAACAGCGAAGTGGAGTGGTGGTGAACCTACGTGGCATGCTTGCTGCAGCAGGCATGAAGAGCCCTCCCTGTTGGCACATGAGCCAAGTTGCCCTAGCAGCTGATCATTGGATATTCAGGTATGCTTGCAGTGTTGGCACTCTGTGATAAATAAGTGAGTTTTTGGTTACAGTTTGGGTACTTGGTCTCTAAAAGGTTTGCTATCACTGCCCTAGAGGTTTCCAATAGAGGGGCACCCATGGGGGCTGCAGCTTGTGAGTGGTTTTGCAGCTGCACCAGCAGGTTCTTGCGTTTACATTCAGGCCTGACCTCACCTCTAGCTGTTCTACCAGCTGCATCTCCAGTGTCATGAGCACGTTGAAGAGCGCTGAGATGTCCTCACTGCACTCCACTATCTTTTTCTCGATGATGAGCAGTTCAGACTCTTCTCGAATGGCACTTAGATTCTGAAAACAAAAGCCTGTGCTTCAGGAATCAATAATTAAGTGTAGTTAGTTAATGATAAGTGACAATTTAGTTTTGTGGATAAAAACTTGGAATCTGGGGTTGGACTTGGCCAAGTTCAAGTCTCAGCTCTGATATATGCTGCTCTGTGAGCTTGTAAAAGTTATTTGCTGCTTTGGCATTGAGTCAAGGGGGCTTGAAAAACAGCAGATACAAGAAGGGTGCTCTGATCTCCCCTTTTCTCCCCGAGAGCAGATGAAACCCCCAAGGGAAAGGTGCCATCCCTACACTAGAAAGAAGAAAGACGTTTGTATCATTTGCATCACCAGACATAGAGGAGTCAAGGCCAAGGGAAATCTGTACAAGTAAATCTTGTAAACTAACCTGAATCTGTGTAGTCACTTCTTCACCATTAACTGCCCCATCCCAACCCCTTTGTCTTACGTTTTCACACTTTACTATTCTTTGTCCAGTCTAGTACAGTCATACACCATCCAAAGAAGTTTTGCTCAATGATGTACCACACATACGAGAGTGGTCTCATAAGATTATAATCGGGGTAAAATATTTTATCACCTATTGATGCCATAGGTGTCAGTTTGTGTTAAGTACACCCTGTAATGTCCACACAATGGCAAAGTCACTTAATGACACATTTCTTAGAATGTATCCCCATATCATTTAGTGATACATGACTATACATTGAACTTATAGCCTTAACTGCTTTTTTTTTTTTGGTACCAGAAATTGAACTCAGGACCTTGCTCTTGTGAGGCAGGTGCAGCGCTCTTTCTTTGTGTTTTCATTTTTCTTGTGGAGTGCTCCCATATACATGTAAAAATGACTACATAAAATCTGTGAGCTATGAGCCATGTATGGATACAGGCACAGACCTATAATCCTAGCACTCTGGCAGGCTGAGGCAGGAGGATCACAAGTTCAAGGCTGGCCTGGGCAATTTAACAACTGAGTGAGACACTGTTTCAAAATATAAAATAAAAAGGGCTGAGGATGTAGCTCAGTGCAAAGGCCCTGGGTTCAATTTTCAGTATTGCAATCACCGGATTGATCTATCAATAAAATAAAAACACATATGTACATCAAATGTATTCCTCTGCTGAGAGTTTTGAGGGTCGTGAGAAATCACACAGAATGTGAGGTCCCATTAATGAAGCTTATGAGCCAAGAAGGGGGTTGGGTAGTGGGAAGTTCCAAGAGGCATCGGGATTTGGTCACCAACTCCAACTTCATTACATTTGACCTGGCATTGCTGGGCAGTTTTGCTCTACTTTGCTCTCAACAAGGAGTGACTGTGGGCTTTCTGAAGCCTCTGATAGGCAAACCTGTGTGTGTGAACAGGTCTTTGAGGAGAAAAAAGGTCTATAGTATTCCTTAAGAGTTTCATAATGATCTGTGACTTAGAACAGGATAAGAATCCTGTTTTAGTTTTTTTAAAGCACTTTACCCCTGAGCTACATGACCCCCCTCCAAGAATCCTGTCTTTAAAAATAATGCTAAACCGGTGTGATGGCACACACCTCTAATACCAGCACTCAGGAGGCTGAGACAGGAGGTTTGCTTGAGTTGAAGGCCAGCCAGGGCTACATAGTGAGTAAAACACCAGCCTGAACTACTGAGTGAGACCCTGTCTCAAAAAAATCAGGAAAAAAAAAAAAAGCTAAATGAACCAGGCACATGGCACTCTCCTGTAATTTTTTAATTTTTTCTGTTTTTGTTTTTGTTTTTTTTGGTACCGGGGATTGAACTTGGGTCCTTGTGCTTTCCACTGAGCTAAATCCCCAGCCCTCTCCTGTAATTTTAGCACTGAGGGAGACTAAGGCAGGAGAATCACAACTTCAGGGCCAGCCTCAGCAACTCTGTGAGACCCTGTCTTGAAAAAATAAAAAGGGTTGAGAATGTAGCTCAGTTGTAGAGCACCTCTGAGTTCAGTACTCAATCCTCAGTACAGTAAAAAATAAATTAAGTAATGCTAACTATGCACCCATTGTAGCATGTGCCTGTAGTCCCAGCTACTTAGTAGTCTGGGGCAGAAAGATGGGTTGAGCCTGGGAATGTGAGGGCAGCTTAGCAAGATAGCAAGATCCCATCTCAAATAATAATGATGATTTTTTTTTTTGGTACCAGAGATTGAACTCAGGACCTTGCCTTTGCGAGGCAGGCACCAGAACCACCGAGCTAAATCTCTGGCTCCAGTAATGATAATTATAATAGTGATGCTAACTAAAAGAACTAATTCCCACCAAATGTAAAGATTGGTCACTTTACATTGACCCCTGCTTGGGTCTTTTCCTTTGCTGCTCCAGGTGAGACATTCTTCCTCCATCATGGCAGACCAACTATTCCCTGTCCTATAAACCCCATCCTTCCTTAAACTCTTCAGCCTGTGTTAAGGGGCCCCAAGGCAATGCCAAAGGCTTCCTGGCTACCCACTGGGAAGTGACGATATTGCACACTCAGGTGTGTGGGGCTGCTGGGCCCAGGTCTGAGTATCTCACCAGGTGGGAGTTCCCCAAGGACAGGGACCATAGGCATCGTGGCTCTAGCACTCAAGGACCCACTCCTCTGAAGTGAGCTCAGAAAATGATGGATCAGAAGAAAAACAGTAGGAGCTTCCACAGTTGTCATCACAGTAGTGGTACAAATACCATTATCAATACTTTACTGGTGATGATGACAAGCTGGAATTCGGGACATCTTTAGTTTTTATTTTTCCAGTACTGGGGAGCTAGGGAAGTCCACTGCCACTGAGCTACATCTTTAGCCCTTTTTTATTTTGAGACAGGGTCTTACTAAGTCACTAAGTTGCCCAGGCTGACCTAAATTTTGTGATCCTCCTAGCTCAGCCTCCTCAGTGTGCCACCATGTTTGGTTTTCAGAGGGGCATCTTATGTGACAGAGAATCATAGGTGCCCTACAAGCTCAACACCTGGTTGGTGATGCTGGGATGAAGTTGGGCCCTAGCTTGCCATTTGGTTCCAGTCTGATCCTTGGCAAATAGGTAAGTGACCTTGGGCCTCAGGGCTTGTCAGAGGGCACAGGACTGACAGCTCTTCCACAACTGGAGGAGCTCAGGGTACCCAGAGTAGAGGCAGCAGAACACCTACCAGCAGGTGCATCTCCTCAAATCTGGCGATCCTGAGTTTGCCCTGTTCCTGGTTTTCCTGGATGGCCTCCTGGACACACTCATTGAAGGTATTCAGCTCCAGTTTCCGTTTCTCCTGCTGTTTCAGGCCATAATCAAAAATATTCAGGCAGATGATGACAAATTTGTCCTTGTAGGTGAATGGCTGTTAAGGAAGCTCAAGACTGTCTCTGGAGTAGGCCACTGGGAGGTGGGTGAGGGACAATGACAGAGTGTGGTAACTCCCAGCCTAGAGTGCAGACTGTGTGCTGAACCCTAATGCATAGGATTTGAACCCATGCTTCCATGTAGACCATTTGACAGATGAAGAAACTGAGGGCCAGAGAGCCAGGATTTGAAATTTGAAGCACACCATAGGGATTGGGGCATCGTACCCTCAACATGAGGAATTCAGTATGAGGCTGAAAGGCCCCAGAAGAAACCTGAGGACTGTGAGTCAGGGAGGGGCCAGGGCCAGCACTGGCCAGGGAAATGGCAGTGTGTGCTTTTGTCTCCAATGAGTTATTCAGGAAGGCACATTTGGTGAGGGCCTGTCTTGGTGTCAGTTGAACTGAGAGGGCACCACAGGGTCAAAGTAGATGATCCAGGTTCAAGTCCTGGGTCTGCCACTGCTTCTGGGATCCACATTGGCAAGTCTCTTCTCCATGCTGGGCCTTAATTTCCTCACCTGCAGTGGAGGGCACAAAAGACCCAGTCTCATGGTGTCCTTGGGAAGAGTCTTTGGGGTCAGGTTGGTAAAGCCTACAGGACCTTAGGTGGTTGTGCTGGGATGGAAATGATTCATCCAGAGTCATAAGGCCACATGCCTTAGAGGCAGACCTATGTTACTTGAGGTGGGAAGTGACCAGGCCTGGCAGGAACCTCTCCATCTGACCTGAAGTCCTGTTCCTTATTGTCCTTTACCACACCAGTTCATTCTCTTCAGAATGTCAGCATTTTGAGTAAATTTCTGCCCTGTGTGAAAATTGTCAGATTCACCTCTGGGCCAAACCTTGGCCAAGAGGTGTCAGGGAAGGTCACAAAGGGAGGGGCTCACACACATGGTAACTTTATCACACGGACAGCTAGCCATGCTGCACAGGGATAGCTGGCTGCTTATCCAGTTATACTTGCCTGCCACCATCTCAAAAGCCCGATTTACCAAAATAGCTGGCTCTGACTTTAAGAACAACTTTCACCTAGTGAATACTGGCATGGTGAATGTTGAAAACTGAGTGGCTTTACTCTTTCCCAGCCACACCCAGCCTTTCCTTTGTTTGCCAGATGGATCCTGGGCCATACTATTCTATGTGTGGATCCCAAACTGCAACTTTACTTTCACATTTTATTCCCAAATAACAGTTCCTTTGTTGAAGATTTGTCTCTGTATTTTCCTGGATGTTGATACCAGTGACAGGGGTCCCACAGCCTCATCTGGGGCTGGTTGTCTCATCTCAGAGTCTCTCAGATCTTGGAACTCCTCGCATCTACCCTGATCCTCAGCTTACAATTTAAGCCTGTGGTTTGGTCGTCACGGCCACTGTCCCCATCACAAGTGCTGATCACCTTCTCTGGGCTTTGGTCCTCCAGGAAAGAATGCAGGCTCTCAGGCCCAACTTGTGAGGGTCCAAATCCTGGGTGCTTTTTTAATTTTTTCCAGCACTGAGGATCAAAACTAGGGATGCTCTACCACTGAACTACATCCCCAGCTCCCCTCCTATTTTTTGAGACAGGGTCTTGCTAAATTGCCTAGGTGAGGCTCCAACTTGTGATCCTCCTGCCTCAGCCTCCCTCAGTGCTCAGATTATAGCTATGTGCCACTGAGCTGGGTCCAAATCCTAGTTTCTAATGGAGGGACCTCAGACAAGCCACTTAACCTCTCCAAGTTTAGTTTCCCTAGCTATATAAGGGGTTAATAACAGCACCCATCTAGTGGAGCGCTGGAGAAAATTATGAGCATTGTATGCAAATGCACAGAAGGAACAAATAAATATGGCTAACAGGGATCTTCTGCTATGGACACACATTTCAATCTCTCCATCTCTGAAGATCCAGCTTGCTAAACATGGCAGATCCATGCCATGCCAACCAGTCTCTCAACATGTCCACTGAAATCTAGATGGCATTCCCCCCATGCAGCTCAGATGACCTAGCTGGTATTGCCTTTTAGTACTTCCCAGGGTTACAAATGAGAGATGAGGACACTGAGTCCCAGAGCAGAAGAGAGGTGCTCAAGGCAGGTGGGTAGTGCTAACCAGGCTCATGACAGAAGAAGCACCTGTGAAGAAGGAAGGATATACTTCGAGGAGCTTGCTCACAATGGGGAGACAGGACAGCTTGCTGCCCTCCACGTCTTCAGCGTACATGCTGTCAAATAGGAAGGAACCGTTCAGGTGTTCGACAAACGCCATCTGTGGATAGGAACACAATGGCCATGATGATACCAAGCTGGCCCTATAAGTGCACACTGGGCAGGGGGCCCTATGCTGGGCACTCAGGCCAGTGAAGGCTTCATAGAGGAGCAGATGCTGTACTTGGGCTGCAGATTTCTCCCAGGAAGGCAGGTGGGTTATTCAGATGAGGGCATGTGTGCAGGTATAGAGGACACTGTTGTAAGCTGTTCCTGGAAAGTCATGCTTACATTGAGCATGACTTCAATGGTATCTGCATGCCACAGGGAAACCACCTAAGGGTCTTAAGAAAAGGAGCTGTTAAGACAGACTTTTTAGTACAATCTCTAGAGGCCCCAGTGAGCTGGACTGGGCTGAGATGGAGCTGACTGTGGGTGTCAGGGGCCAGGGCAGAGCCTGGTGAAAAGGTGGTGTCAGACCCTGGGGATGGAGCATGATTTACATAATTTGGGGCCCAAGGATCCCTGAAGACCTCCACTTAACATGATCAGTGTGTGCTCATAGGCATGTCTGAGCCAGGCTGAGGTGTGACCCCTCTCCCAATGGTACCTTGTATTCCTCCAGTTTCACCCGCCAGGCCTGTTCCTCCTCCAGCTGGGCCTGCCTCAGGTGCTCCTGGTGCTTCAGCTCATCAATGCTGTACTGGTACTTCATTTCTGCCAGCTCTTTCTGACCAGGGAATATGAATTTGGCATCGTTATCAGGATGTTTAGTCCTTCTGAGCCACAGTGACCTCTGCCATTCTATGGCCTCCCAAGTATGAGCTGGAGGGTCCCTTTCATGGAGCCTGGGAAAGCTGGGAGTCATTGGATGAGAATGGTTTGCCAGGTATCTTTTTTTTTTGGTACCGGGGATCGAACTCAGGTCCTTGCGCTTGCACAGCAAGGGGCGAAACCACTGAGCTAAATCCCCAGCCATGCCAGGTATCTTAAGTCCACGGGAAATCAAAGAATTAGGAATTCCTGGAGCTGGCTGGGAGGTTACTGGGAGCCTGCCTTTAGCCCCTGGTCAGCTGGAACTGCTCCTAGTATGTCCAGGGAGCCCTGAAAGCTATCCTCCTGCCTGAGCCCTACAGTGCTAAGTAGCCCAGGTCTTAGGGCAGGCCATGGCTGGCCGATGTCAAATAGTAATGTGGACCGGGTGTTTCAGGTATTCCTGCTTGTGGAACTGTGGTTTTCAGAACTTTTGCTTATTATTTAGCTTGATGATTCTAGGCAGGTACCTGAATCATGGAAGGAGTCTTGTTTACTGAGCAATGGGGATGCCCAGGCTGCACTATTCATCCTTGATGGACATATCTGAGGACACTTTGCTTTGGTACTGCACAGTGTTAAGCTGTCCTATGTTTTTATAATGGACAAAACACATCCAAACAGGCCTTTGGTCTACTCTACCATTTAAAATTACTGCTTACAGTGCTGGGTGTGGTGGCGCAGGCCTGTAATCTCAGCACTTGGGAGGCTGAGGCAGGAGGATCACCTTGAGTTCCAGGCCAGCCTGGGCTACACAGTGAGTTCAAGGCCAGCCTGGACTACATAGCAAGACCCTGTCTCAAAAACAAAAACAAAACAAACAAACAAACAAACAAATATATATATATATATATATGTTACTGCTTACATGAGAAAATTAAAAATTAAGAGTTTTTATAAGTACCATGTACTAACAAATTACACCACTGGAGCTCCTGAAAAATTAAGAGTTTTAGAATTCAAACTCAATTTTTTGGACTGTTTAAAGATAAGAGAAAGCCCACAGTCAGTAGAACAACTACTGTCAGTAGAGCAACTCCTCCCTGTTGTCTCTGTAAACCTCCAAAGAAGATTCTGGCAAGCGAAGGAGTCCACACTTAGAAGCAGCTTGTCCCCAGATCCATGGACAGGCTACTAGAGTCAGGATGGAGACAGTGGGTCAGCTCTCCTCCCTGCTGTGGATGGCCTCTCTGGGGTTCCCCCTAAATCACCTCAGTGCCCGAACATGGGGTCTTCTCTCCCAATAAAGGCACAGGGTTCATGAGAGGAGTAGGCAGGTCAATAGCCTTCACCCAAGCACTGTCATTCAGGGGCTTCCCTGTCCTGCCACCAAAGGGTGGGATTCTTTTTCTCTTCTTTCTATGAAACTGGGTCTCCTGAAGACTCTGTCTCATAAAGGTGGGGGACAGAGAGGGAGACACTTCCCATGTGGTCATCGATGCGTCTGAAGTCCAGGTACACAAGGTCAGGAAGGTGGGCGTAGATGAACATCTTGTAAGCCTCTGTCTGAGTAATGGGGTTCCCTGAGAGGCTGAGTGTCCGCAGGCACTTGAACTGCCGAAGGTAGATGATCTGGGGAGAATTGGGGAAAAAGATTCATCTTCTGGCAATTACAGAGCTGAAAGCACACATGGCAGCATCCCTCCTTAGCACTCTTCTGGAGTTTTCAGCTGGTCAGGGTAGCTTCCAAGTGCACAGGCAAGGAGGTGGGGTTTCCAAACCAGACAGCTGTACTGAGACCTTCCAATAGACCTAAGCTTTCCAAAGACTCAGTCAACCAGTTTTCAATGCTAGCTGCAGACTTTGGACAAGTTACCTAACATCTATGAGCCTCAACTTCCTCATCCGTAAAGTGGGTATAAGTATACTGTGTATGTTACAGGTGATGTAAAGACCAAATGAAGTAAGTTTTGAAAAACATTCAGAAGAGTCCCTGATAGCCAGGTGTCCCAGATCCTAAGGCAGGAGGACCTCAAGTTCAAATCTAGCCTGGGTTACTTAGCAAGACCCTCCCTCAAAAATAAAAATTTAAAAAGAGCTGGGTCCTGGGTTCTATTCCCAGTAAGACACGCACAAAAAGAGTGCCTGACACCTACTAAATGAAGGATAATTGTAGTCGTTGCTGCTATTATTATTATTTTTTGCTCAGAATAGCTGTGCCTTTTTGCCCACTTTTGGAAAGGTCCAAATCTCTTAAATTAAATGGAACTAATGTGTGGCTAACTTTGCATTCACTGGATAATAGTGAGTGGAACATTCCACTAGTGGTTGTCTGTTCTTCCTATACTCCAGTTTTAGTAAAATGAGAAAAAGTCAAGCACATAGTTAATACTTCATGTTATAACACTGTTCGAGTACCTTGCCACAGTGCTATACAAGGCTGAGGAGGAACTGCATGTGCTTTTCTAAATGCATTTCTTTGTGTCATTTTTTTTTTGGTCCAACAAACCTTACTAAGTACCTAACAGGTTTCAGGTAAGTGGTTGGCTTTGGCAATAGAGCCAGGAATGTGGCCCATGGGTCCTTACCCTAATAATCTAATAGCAAGAGCTTACATTCTAGGGGTAGGGAAAAATGTTTTTTAAAATAAAATTATTACAGTTCAGGGTAAGTGCTATAAAGAATTTAAAGATGGCACAATGAGAGAAAATAATAAAGAGGCCTTTTTCAGCTAGAGGGCTCAGAGGTTTCACAGGGCGTGGTGTTTAATCTGAGACCAGAGGGAGTCAGCCAAGACAGAATAGGGAAAGCACAATCCCAGAGCTAAAACAGTGGAGGCAAAGGCCTTGAGACACAAGGGAACTTGGCAGAAACTGAACAAAGGCCATGTGGCTGCAGAATGATGGGGAGGGTGCTGTAAAAAGGATATGAAATGACACTGGAGACAAAGTTAGGGGCACGTTGGTGAAGCCCACATAGGCTGTGAGCACATAGTTTGGATTTTCTTTTTCCCCAAGAATAATAAAGCCATTGGAATTTTAAGTGTCTATGAGGGAGATAGGATCTGGTTTAATTTTTTTGTTTGTTGGTTTGTTTTGTTTTTGGTACCAGGGATTGAACTTGGATCCTGGTGCTTGCAAGGCAGGTGGCAGAACAACTGAGCTAAACCCGTAGCCCATAGTTTAATTTTTAAGAGATGCCCCAAATGAGAATCTATTTTTTTTGGTACCGGGTATTGAACTCAGGACCTTTCACTTTCAAGGCAGGTGCCAGAACCACTGAGCTAAATCCCCGGCCTCTATTTTTAATCATTTAGGTTTGCAAAGAGAAAAGTTTGATAATAAAATGTTTTGTGGAAGGTAAGAGAGAATAGGCTGCCCCATCATTGCTGGCAGGTCTATAAACAGCTTTATTTATAAAGTGGGGAATTTGGCTAAGGTCTATCAAAATTAAAAATGCACATGTCTTCTGACCTGGAAATTCCCATTCTAGGAGTTTATCTTATGGATGGATTAATCCAGGTGAAAGTAACCCTGTTCAAGAACATCCCCTGTTCAAGGACATTCACTAAAGCCTGTGTGTAATGGCACCAGGTTAGAACCAACCTTGACATCTACCTCCAGGGAAATGGAATATGTCACGCCGTGTCTAAGCAACGGTGTGGTATAGCAGGGAAGGAGGACTGATGACTCAAGGGAATAGGGGCAACTAAAGGCAGGTAGGTGCTCATGCACAATTCTTAAATACCAGGCACAAAACACACAGTCAACCTAGAAGTAGCTGTGGCCTGGGAGAGAGAAGCAAGGACTGAGGCCTCTTTCTGTGAACCCTGAGTTCTGCTTCAAAGTCTGTGTTCTTTTTTTTTTTTTTTTGGTACGGGGGATCAAACCCGGGACCTTGCGCCTTAGAGGCAGGCGGCGGAACCACTGAGCTAAATCCCTGACCCACAAAGTCTGTATTCTTAATGCAATAAGCAGAAATAAGCAGCCTTGGAAGTAAATAAAGGATGAGAGCATGTAATTAGATGTCAGATATTCAGGAAAGTTAAGAACTAAAAGCAAAGATGCTGGTGTTAGAAGCTAATACCTGAGAAGTATCTGTCAGTATGTCCTAGGTCAACTCCCAAAGAGGGCCAGTGCTGGATTAATTGAAGAGGATCCTGGATCCCTAGAGTCCCCAGGATGCAGTCAGGCTTTGAGAACATCTGGCCCAGATACCTCAGCACTCCCTGGAAGCCTCTCCCCATGGGGCTTCTGTCTTCCTCTTTTTCTCTAGGGACTAGCTATATGGGTATCTTGAATATTCATGTAAGGCTACATGGTACCCACTGGCTACAGATGATGGGATTTTTCCTGCCCAGGCCTTGCAGAAGCAGGATGGGAAAATACCCAAGGCCAAGGGGGTGAGGCCAGAGCATGACTATCTCCACATCCTTTCATGTCCAGGCCTGGGCCTTTCGAGGGACAGGGCCTTGGCTCTAGTAAACTCTCCAAGCCTGAGGGATAACAAATCAGAAGGGATTCATTCACATGGAGCCTGGGGTATTGGATACACCAAGGCAGAACCATCTGCTAAATAAATGCTCATAGATAGTTTCAAGCAGCAAGACTGCGGAATGAGGATGTGGCTCAGTGGCAGAGCACTGGTCTAGCATGTGTGAGTCCCTGGGTTCAATGCTCGGCAAAGAAAAAAAAGACGTTTTGGGTGTATTTCCAAATTATAATCACTTCTGTGTACCTACTATGTACCAGGTCCTGTATTAACCACCTAACACTCTCTAGCCAATTCAATCTTCACAGCAACCCTATGAGGTAAAAACTACTACTAATCTCATGTTACGGATAAGTCACCAGGCCCAAGGACATATAGCTGGTAGGTGGCAGGGCTAAGATTTGAACACAGGTTGATTAAATCTCAGTTCTGATGTTATTAGCCTGCCTTCCCACCCTATGCCTCATTCAGCCAGACACAGTTTTTTCATCCCAACAAAGCACATGCAGGCTAGACAGCCTACACTTCAACCCCCAGAAGGGTACTGGTACATTTAAATCCTCTGTCTGGTGCACAGGGCAAACTTTTGAGTTTATACCACCTCTGGGGTTTGGACACACACTTGGCCATCCACCTAAGCCACCAGCCTAGTCATGTTCTAGACAGGATATTGGACTGAGGGTATATACAGAGCCCAAGATGGCCTGATTGGACCACATCTTATTGGGAGGAGATTTCTTACTTTCTCTGTCTTGCTAAATAGAAATATGGAATATGGTTTAGGGACAGGGATTTAGCTCAGTGGCATTGCGCCTACCTTGCAAGTGCAAGATCCTGAGTTCAATTCCCTGTACTGGGGGGAAAAAAAAAAAGAAAGAAAGAAACATGAAAACCTGTAACCTTGACTGCAAGGGGAAGCAACCTTGGACAGACGCTGAGGCTGGCGGAACCCAGAAGTGGAAAGAACCTGTGTCCTTGAAACCCCACTGACAAGCTGCCTCTCTTTCCAGTGCCAATAACCAGGCCACTAAATGCCCTTGTTTACGGCTGGTGCTTGGCAGACCTCTGACTTTATCTGCCACTGTGACAGACTCCTGCTGACAGAGCTCAGCTCATCACTGGCTTTCTGTGTCAGAGAGGTCTCTGACACCCAGAGGCCCAGCAAGTGGGGAGGGATCTAATCCCCTTGGGGTGACACCAGCTATTGAGGGACAGGACTTTCAACCAGTGCCTGGAGCTCTGACCCTTGTGTGGTCACTTCTGGGAAGCATTCTGGATATTTCTGAGGTCCAGCAGAATCAAGCCCCCATCACCTGCAGAGGCAACCCCAGTGACACCCATATATTAGTTCTCTTGCTCCTTCACTACCTCCTTCCTGAAGTCACCTTCCAAACAAATCACCTGCTTCCACATCCCTGTCTCACCTCTGCTTCCAGCCAGTTGGAGTGAAGCTTTTCTGATACTTGCAGGTCAAGCATCCTTTCTGGAGACAACATCCTAGGCATCATTCATGCAGCCTCTACCTTTCCAAATCCACCCTCATGGTGGTGGTGGGTTTCCTTCCTAATGTAGACCTGCCCTGAACATAACATAGCACAAAGCCATGTGGATCCCAATGTTTCTCTGGATATCCCTGGCTGCAGCGAGCCCAGTTCCCAGACTGAGCCCCAGTCTGTGCACACCCTGGACTTCTCAGGACCTTGAACACCTCCATGGTGCTATAAAGTGGGCTCTCCTAGGTAACCTCTGGGCCTTTGCTTATGCTATCTTCACCTCCTGAGAACCCTTCTTCTGTTAGATAGAAAATTCTCATCATCTCTTAGTGAGTCTGAAGCAAGTCACCTCTTGTTCCCTGACATTCTTCCAGGAAGGATGTCACCATGACAGGTCCTCTGCTTGTTAAGAACCTGCTCTAGCCCAACTCTGAACCAAATATTATATGTTCAGTACCTCACTTGACTCTTGTGAGAGCCTGAAGAGGTGGGATATTTACTCTGTCCATTTGACAGGCAAGGAAACTGAGTCATAGAGCACTAACACCTCACTTAGATTTCAATCCTACAGAATGCCAGGTAAAATTCTGAGACTCACTGCCTCCAGGGTTTGACCTTGCTAAACAGACTCAAACAGCGATGATGACTTGATATGACCCACCCAGGCTGCTCATCTAACCCACTCGGGCATGCAGCTGGGATGTAATCCAGATCATCAGACTGAAGTAAGCAACAAAGGGGTCTTGAAAGGATGCTGGACAGCACCAAGATTGGTGGGCAGGCTGGAGAAGCAGATATGACCAGGGCTAACAAGGTCACTACTGAGTCACCTGACACAGGCACTGCTCATGGCACTGCTGGGGTCTCAGCTCCAGCCCATTGCTGTGAGTCCATTGTAGGGTGAGGGGGGAAGCCCACCTTTCCCCAAGATGACCAATATCCAGTGTCACATAGACAAATCCCTGGGACCTGGGATGCCTTCCTACCCTCCATGGGTCTTGCCTTACTATATTCCTCAGGTCACTGGCTTCCTGTTACTTGTGTCTGGGTGTGGGGTGCTTACCCCAAAGGGACCATATATTGTCCATGTCTGTACCCACTGAGCACAAGACAAATACCCCACATCCAACAGGTCCTCACCTCAGCAAATGTTTGCTAAATGAGCATGAGATGCAGGGAAAGAAAGGGACCTTATCAAAACTGAGGTTGCAAACTGGTATCCAGAGTGGGGTTTTGTAGGTTTAAGCATTGTATGTAGATATTATTAAGCCCCCCATGGAATAATCTGGATGTCTGGATTTCCAGGCAAAGGGGGAGACCAGGAACCCTCACCTTGCAATTTCCATGCTCCAGACTCCCACCCTGACCCCAACACGCATCCCAAAGCCAAGCTACTCACATTCAACATGTTGTCAATCTGGTTGTTGCCCAGTGACAGGACTTGTAGCTTGACCAGTGCATCTAGAGAGTCAATCTTGGAGATCCTATTGTTGAACAAACTCAGGTCCTCCAGGTTGACCAGGGTATCCAGTCCCTCGATAACCTTGATGTTGTTGAAGGACAGATCTGGGAAGGGAAGAGTGCTCTGAAGATGTGCTGCCTGGGCCAGGGGAGGGACTGTCCTGAAATAGAACCATCAGGGCTACTGTGTGCTCTGTGATTTATCACCAGTTTAGGGGCCAGGAATTGACCTGCTGTTCAACAGTTTGTGACTTCTAGAAGCCTGGTGTGGATTCTTTCCTGCAGCCTTAGATGTCCCCTTCTCCCCAGTTCTGCCACTCATCCCCGTTACTGGGACACCTTAATGCTCTGTCACAGTTCTGAGACAAAAATACTGACAAGTAGGTCTAAAGGAGTAAGCCCTGGGATCAGGGGCAGACAGTTGTGGGGTTGCACTTCCCCTTGTGTGTGTGTGTGTGTGTGTGTGTGTGTGTGTGTGTGTAACAGGGATTGAACTCAAGACCTTTACACTGTGAGGCAGACAGCAGAACAACTGAACTAAACCCTTGTCAGTTTTGGATTCTTATATGAAGAAAATTTCTTTATTGCGTTTGAGTGATAAAAAAAAAGTCACTAA